ATATATATAATTACAAATTCATCTATATAAAATTTTTATAATTTGATTAAAAATATATATTTTCCAATAAAAATGAATGAAAAAAGAAAAAGAAGAGTTATAAGAATACAATTTAATTCTTTCATAGAAAATAGAAATAAACAATAAGAAAATGAAAATGAAAATGAAAATGAAAAATAGAAATCAATATGTGAAAAGAAAGAGAAATATTGAAATATATATATATTAATTTCTTCTTCTTCTTTTGTGAAAGTCACTTAAAATCTTGTGATTAATGAAAGACAAATTTCGAAATTTTATTTAAGTACTTTCTGTTTAAAAGTTAGTATCATGGAGAATTTTATAAAAGTTTCTAAAAAGTTTTAATTAAAAACACTATGACTTATAGAGACTTGTTAAAAATTTATAAAGTCCCGCATAGGGAAGATGAAAAAGATGTAAGAAAAAATTCAGTCATTTAGAAATTAATGAAAAAGGGTCTAGGCGTGAGCGAAGTGTTTCGCTAGTGTTTCGAGCATAGGCAGTACCTAGCAGTCGTCTGCACGAGTTTTTTTAGAACATCATTGAAAATGATTATGAAAATTAAAGGATTTTTTAAAGGGAGATGAGGCTAAAAATGAATTATGGATGAAAATTGGGCATTGTCAAATGGTAAATTACTGGAGTGTAAAATTTGGGAAAATGACTTGTGGATGAAAATGCATCGGGAATGCAATAATGCAAGTTTTGTGTTAGATCGGAAACATACTGAGGGAGGCTATGTGAGATTGGTGAAAATGACGTTGATGATGATGTTGTTGGCGGCTATTCACTATGAAAAATGTCGGTACATAAAATTTTTGACAAAATTCATATCGACGTTGACGTGAAGACGCACGATGGCTTAGTTTATTCTCTTTTCATCTTCCATTGATTTCACGCCATGAGTTATTTATCAAAATGTCATGTACTTATAACATGATCGATTCATTATCAATAAAATATTCTACTCGTAAATTCAATTTTTTTCTATTTTTTAATCACACGTTCTCCAAAAATTCAATGTTTCAAAACTTTATTTTTGCCAAATAATGACCATCAACTAGGGTCTTAGCCATCTTTGACCTCATTATCTAAAACTCATCCATCAAACTCATTTTTAACTGTACATTTCACGTGATCCATAATTTTTATCAACTTTTTAATCACATCTTATCAACTTTTATTAAAATTTCATAAAAATCTGATTTTTAATCAAATCAAACGTGGGCATAATTTACATGGACAATGCAAGCTTTCTTCGTAGTTATCAAAGATGCATATTCTTTTAGGCTCCTGAACACAATGCTAATTTCATCGTGTCTTTCTCCTCCAATCATGCTCGAGTTTTAAATACAAAGAATTAAGCATTGATGGTAATGATTGACAATGGTTAACAGAAATAAAAATATTTTTACAGTAATAAAATAATGTGACATTTACGTGAAAGGAAGGGTGTGATTGATAAATAACCATAAAAACTCATCTTTCAAACTAGACATTGTCCAGTCCAAATTCATGTATTCATCCCACTCAACAGCTATGATTTGCAGAATAATGTAGTCTGTATATACAGACAAGCTTTGTATCTATACGTCCTTCATTTCATTATAAACCAATCGAATTTCTAGATGAACTGAAATATGAAGAAATAAGATCAATTTTAATGATGAACAATGACAAATTCACTCCACAATTTCAAAATTGTTAATTATTGAACTATAATATAAAAACGTGATATGACGTAACACTCTGGTGTTACATTACACATTATTTATTATGCCAAGCAAAATGAAGCAATGCTTCTTCGCATAATTGTGGATGAGAATGGGGGTGATCAAAATACCCCCAAATGGAAACGGCTCACAATGTTTAAGTTTTGTTGTATTGCTAGGTGCTCTGAGCCGTTTTGTGAGTCGACTACATAATCATGCAGCAACCTTCTTGGAAGTCACAGAATTAATAATGGTCGCAAACTCGGGGCCCTGCAACAAAAAAATTGAAGATCAATCTCAAGTATGCTGTCATGAGTAAAATGAGAAGCTTCAAACCACTGACTCGGGTTGCAACATGGCTGGGCCAGCACATCCCAGTTTTGGGCGGCCCTTGCTGGGGTGTACCAACATGGTTCTTTTTTGGCCTGGCATCCCTAAAATTAAGTGGGCCTGGCACAACAACAATTTTCCTTGATCCAAAACATAAGCTGATAGCCTGGCATACTGGGAATTCCCAGGAGGTTTAGAACCTCGGCTCAAAAGTCAAACCCCACGTAGGATCCAGGTTTCCAGAATTACTCAAGCAACAAACAAAATCACTTGCATCCCACTTTCTACAACTTGTTCATAGTGCACGTGCTCACCCAGCAACCATTTTTATCTGTAATTTGCAGTCCACAATTTCCAGATTGATACATCACACAATTTCATAACAACTAATCACCTATTACGTACGTGTTATATATCAACACTGTCAACTTTGTAAAATGAAATTCATGACGCCACCATTCTCAACCTAGTCTTGCTCCTCTATGGGTGCTAGTGGTCAGACGAGGACAAAAGATCTTTCCAAGATGCATGAGTGATCAACTTC